GGTTAGAGGGGTAAGGAGAGCAGGAAAAGCAGAAAGGCTAGGAAAATGATGTGGGGAGTATCGGTTAGCATGGAGCCGCCCGTACACCTGAAATGCGAGTGGCAGCCATACAAGCGCGTCTAATGCAGGTAGCCGTCATTCGAAATAACAATAAAAAAAAAACGGAAGGGGTGAGCCTGTGAAAGAAAACAAAAATGGACCTTCAAGGGGAAGTCAAGACGAAACAAAGCGGATGATGCATCTGGCGGGGTTAGCTACTGCATGTCATTTCGCCGCAGCTGCTCCGCACGAGTCCGCCGCAGCTTATCCGCGTGATTCCGCCGCAGCTGCTGAGCGCGATTATGCCGCAGCTGCTGAGCGCGATTTCGCCAAGCTGCTGCGCACCAATCCACCGCCGCTTGCTGCGCGCCACAGAAACACACATGGCGCGAGTAAAACAATTAGCAACAGTACGGTTAAAAAACTCATTGACATGCACGCCTCCAATCGTCATGGTATTGAGGATGATTAATTACGGAAAGCGTAAACCCTCCAGCAATGTCTAGGAAATCAAGGCAGCGGAAAATGCGGATATGCGGTGAGTTAAAGCTCAAGGCCCAAATTGCGGGGCGCGTTAGGCATGATTACTAATCTTGCGCAGCTGTTGTTTTGGTGCTGTGGTTTGGCGAATGTTGGGTTACGCTAGGCACGAATGAATCTGATTGGTCGAGGCCAATCTCACTGCAGAAACTTCAACTTTCAGTATTTCTCAATTTGGGACTCTCGGTCCAAACTGAATGTTTGCCTTGGGATTTGCTGACTCAGCGAGTGTTGCGAGAGCTTGTGCGAAATAAGTCAACCCCACCCTCCCAACACTTTCTTGACCAGCCCAAACCCTTGCGCAAGATTACTAACCTTGCGCAATTTGGGCCTTGAGCTTTAAGAGATGTGTAAAGTCAATAGCTTGGCAACACGAAATAATGAGGGAACTGGGCGTGATGGGGTTGTGAAATACATCCAAGTGAGCGAATCTTTTGCTGAAGTGACTAGGACAAATGTGATTGGTGCACGAAATCCTGACTGCCACCTAAACACATCAGTATAACCTCAATACAGAGAGTCTCGATACGTCTAAATCATTGTTGAACATAGCTGCTGTTATGAAAACGTGTACAGTGCTTGGGGTCAGCTGTGGTTGCCGAAAGAGTGTGAACAAACCAAGTGAGCAGGCTCGATACGAAGCTGTGGGGGTATCCTGTGGGTTACAACGAACTGAGCTTAAGCCTGATTGGTCCGCAACATTCACACGAAATTCAAATTGCGAGAATTACCATTTCGTAGCCGTCGCTTGGGCGAGGGAGTAACCTAAGGGCTTCTTAAGGGGTACCCGTGGGTCACCCCGCGAGGGTGACCTGGGGGTATCACACGCTCTCCGACCGATTTCGGCCTCGTGATTTTTGGGATGATTGAGGCTGGACGCCGCAGTGTGGTGATCCCCGTGAGATGCGGCCCCCGCTAGGTAGCGCCGACGCTGGACTGTGGCTCTGCTGCTGCTGGGGTCACGGCTCCAAGCGACCTGCTGCTGGCGCGCTGGCTCGTTTGAATCGATATGGCGCGGAGCGACGCACGATGCAGCGATACGTGAGGGGAGAAGGAAATTCGTGTGGAATGGCAAGATATGGTGAACGCAGGGAAAGAGGATATTTGTAAGCGCCCATCGCCGCCGCTCCGGCATATATGCCGAAAAGTGTCAAATAATATATGCATCATAGATGTGTAGGCTGTAGTGGGGTAGCCAATATGGGGTACAGCCCCCATTAGGGTTTCATATTTGTACCCAGTTTCTTTTTAGTGCATTCATTCCTGCCAAGTTACTTTGACATGGTATCAGAGCAAGAGGTCCCTAGGACCTCAGGATCAATTTTTTTAGGGCCCACCACCTACTGCCCGCAGTTACCGTGCTACCCCACGCCCTGCCTGAGCCTGCCTGCCTTGCCTGCCTGTCGCGCTGCCCTGCAGCCTCGTGTGCCGCCCGTCGCACTGCCCTGCAGCCCCGCGCGCGCCCTGCCCTAGCCCGTCGCGCTGCCCCGCAGCCCCGCGCGCCGCCCGTTCCGCTGCCCCGCAGCCCAGCGCACGCATTGCCAGCCCGTCGCGCTGCCCCGCAGCCCCGCGCGCCGCCCGTCCCGCTGCCCCGCAGCCCCGTGCGCGCACTGCCAGCCCGTCGCGCTGCCCCGCAGCCCCGCGCGCCGCCCGTCCCACTGCCCCGCAGCCCCACGCGCGCCTTGCCAGCCCGTCGCGCTGCCCCGCGGCCCCGCGCGCCGCCCGTCGCGCTGCCCGTAGGGCTGCCCCGCAGCCCCGCGCGCCGCCAGCCCTAGTGCAGCGGCCGCCTGCCCCACCCGTGCGCTGCTACCGCTGCTAGCGCATTGCCCCACCCACGCGCACCTTACGGCTGCTTTGCGCGCCGTCCTTGCCTGCTGCGCTTGCCTTCTGTCTGTGCTTGCGGCCTCTGTCTACTACCTTTGCCTGCTGCCTTTACCTGCGCTGCGAGCATGGCGACGCTTAATGTTCTCGCGTTTGAACCTGACAGTCGCCCTATTGAGTTTGCCACTTGGCTCGACGACCTGCAACTGTTTCTTATGACTGATGCAAAAGACGGCGTTTCACTGTTCGATCACGCGTCTGGCACTGCCGTTGCTCCTGCTGACACTGCTCCTGCTCTTGACCGCTCACAGTGGCAGACTCGCGATGCTGCTGCGCGCCTCGCTATTCGCAACCATCTGCCGATCACTGAGCGCGCGCATTTTAGCCAGCACAAGACTGCTAAGGCACTGTATGACGCTGTAGTTGCGCGCTATTCGTCCCCAGCCACTGCAGCTGTCGGTCGTCTCATCCTGCCCTACCTCTTCCCAGACCTGTCCTCGTTTGCCACCGCTGAGGACCTTATCTCTCACCTCCGCGCTAGTGACGCCCGCTTTCGTGCTGCCCTCCCAGACGATTTTCTCGCCCAGAACCCCCCCCCCGTTATACTTTACCCTCTACATCCTCGTCACCCGCCTCCCTGACACTCTCAGTTCAGTCAGGGACCACTTCCTCGCCAAAGACCCTACCACTCTCACTCTAGCCGACTTCGAGCAGCAGCTCCTAGCAGCAGAAAAGAACATCCTCGCTGTAGGTGCTGCTCGTGGCACTCCTCGCACTCCCCTCTTTGAGGGGTGCTCCCCCTCCCCCCTTGCCCCCTCCTACGCCTCTGCTGCTGCTGCCGTCGACCTCCTCGGTGCTGAGAAGGTCGCAGCTGCTTCCGCTCCTAGTGGGAAGCGCAGCGGCAAGGGCGGCAAGGGTGGCAAGGGCGGTGGAGGTGGAGGTGGAGGGGGCGGTGGTGGAGGCGGCGGGGGTGGTGGAGGTGGTGGGGGTGGCCGTGGGGGTGGAGGCGGTGGGTGGAGCGACGGTGGGACCGGGAGTAGTGGAGGAGGCAGCGGCGGTGGTGGGGGCGGTGGTAGCGGTGGTGGTGGCGGGGGTGGAGGCCAGGGGCAGCAGCAGCAGCAGCAGCCGCAGCAGCAGCAGCGTCAGCGCCAGACCCCCACGTCTCAGCAGCTTCATGACTGGTATGCTCAGCGTGGGGGGTCTGGGGGTCCTGGTCGCTGCCCCTATGTCATTCGTGCCGTTCCCCACGCTGGTCGCCCATGCAACGGCTTTCACACTGAGTACCGCTGTTTCGCTAGGCTTAGCGACGCCTGGCGCGCCAAGTTTCCTGAGGCTACTACTGGTGACACTGGTGCTGGCGCTGGAGGTTCTGCGGCTGCTGGTGCTGCTGGTGCTCGAGGAGCTGGCGTTGGAGAGTCTGGAGCTACTGGAGGTTCTCGAGCTACTGGAGGCGCTGGAGCTGCTGGTGCTGGTGCCGCGCACTGCTGTGCAGCGTCCGTTCTTCTCTCCACCGTCTCCGTCGTCTCTGTCGCCTCCTGACACAGTACTTCGCCAGGTTCTTACCCTGCCGTCTTCCACTGGCCTACCGTTACAGCCAGGCTCCCCCCTGCCTGCTCCCTCTCCTTACACTGAGCAGCCAGGAGGTCTTACTGAGCGTCGCTAGCCTGCGTCCCGTCCTGTCTCGCCTGTTCGCGCTGGTCCCACTGGTCGCCCTGGTCGCAATGGTCGTGTTCGTCGTGAGCGTCCTCCTCCTGTCCCTGGCACGCACTTTATGGCACTTCGTCCTTCCTCTATTCCACAGCGTGTTCCTCTGCCGTCTCCTCCTGCGTCTTCTTTGCCTGACGTTCCGGACCCTGAGTCTGACCGGTTTTGTGCTGAGCACCCTACTGTCACGCGTCTGCTAGCCACTGTTGTCACTGACCCGTCGTTTGAGTCTGCTGCTGCGTCTGCCTTAGTCGCTGAGCTCGTTGACTTTGCTGCTGCCTGTCGTCTCGACTACGCTGCTAGCCTTGTTGCTGAGTCTGAGTCTGTCTGTCCTCCGTCCGTCGGGGGTGAGTGTGCTCTTGGCACGGACGTCCTTGAGGACAGGCACGAGGACCTTGAGTGTCTTGCAGCCGCTGTGCCTCATCTCGTGGCCATGCTGCTTGCCCCTGAGGGAAGCCCGGATGCACTTGACATCCCGACCCCGCGCTCTTACGCTGAGGCGATCGCGAGTGAGTACTCCTCTCAGTGGCAGGCAGCCATGGACGCAGAGATGGCATCCTGGAAGTCCACAGGCACTTACGTCGATGAGGTTCCCCCTCCCGGGGCGAACATCGTCGATGGCATGTGGATTTTCAGGGTGAAGCGGTCGCCGGGTTCTCCGCCTGTCTTCAAGGCTCGTTACGTTGCTCGAGGCTTCAGTCAGTGAGAGGGTGTCAGAATGTGATATTTGTCTAGCCTGCAGTGGGGTACTCTATAGCGAGTACAGCCCAAATTAGGGTTTGCTATATGTACTCAACTGCCTGCTAGTGAAAACCTCTCTTTCCTGTTTCTCGTTTCTGCCTGCTGTTTTGACAGAGGAAGTTGTCTTCTTCCAGACCTTCTCCCCCACCCCGAAGATGACCACTTTTCGGGTGCTGCTGCACGTTGCCGCTCAGCGTGACTACGAGCTTCACTCTCTTGACTTCAGCACAGCCTTCTTACAGGGCAGCCTGCACGAGGAGATCTGGCTGTGCCGCCCACCTGGCTTCACTGGGTCGTTCCCTCCTGGTACCCAGTGGAGCCTCCGGCGGCCAGTCTACGGTCTCCGCCAGGCGCCTCGTGAGTGGCACGACACACTGAGGACGACACTTGCGGCTCTTGGGTTTGCTCCTTCGACTGCTGACCCGTCGCTGTTTCTGCGCACTAGCACTTCGCTGCAGCCGTTCTACATCCTCGTGTACGTCGACGACTTGGTCTTTGCCACTGCTGATACTGAGGCTCTCGCCCTTGTGAAGTCGGAGTTGCAGAAGAGACACACGTGCACAGACCTGGGTGAGCTGCGCAGCTACCTTGGCTTGCAGATCACCCGGGACAGAGCACGCCGCACCATCACACTGTCTCAGTCACACATGGTGCAGCAGGTCCTTCAGCGCTTCAGCTTCACCTGGTCCTCCCCACAGTCCACTCCTCTGGCTTTAGGTCACTCGCTCTCAGCTCCACCTTCGGACGAGTCCGTAGAGCCGAGTGGTCCTTACCCAAAGCTAGTGGGCTGCCTCATGTACCTGATGACCTGCACTCAACCTGACCTTGCGTACCCTCTTGGCCTTCTGGCTTGTTACATGGCTCCTGGTAGGCACCAAAAGGTGCACTGGGAAGCTGCGAAGAGGGTACTGCGCTACTTGTGCAGTACATCAGGCATGGGGCTCGTGCTTGGAGGACGGGGTGACGTTGTCCTCACTGGACACTCTGACGCGTCTTGGGTTGACGACCAGGCTACGCAGCAGTCGTCACAGGGTTACACCTTCAGCCTTGGCTCCGGCTCTGTTTCGTGGCGGTCTACTCGCTCGTCTTCTGTTCTCAGCTCCAGTTGTGAGGCTGGGATCTACGCCACAGCCATGGCTGCACAGGAGTTACACTGGCTCACCTACCTGCTGACTGACTTGGGAGAGTGGCCTCGTTCTCCTCCAGTTCTGTACGTTGACAACAAGGCGGCCATTGCCTTGTGTGAGGAGCACAGACAGGAGCATTGAACGAAGCACATCGCTCTGCGTTACTTCCTGGCTCGAGAGTTGCAGCAGCGAGGTCAGCTTCGTCTTGCTTACGTGGCCACGCGGGCCAACACCGCTGATATATTCACCAAGGCACTTCCGTCTGGTGATCATCAGCGTTTCTGTACCTTGTTAGGCCTTGTACCTACGTTTCCACACTTGCTGTAGGCTTTGCTTGTACTGTGATCTATATACATATATACCTGCATGCTTGCTCTTGCTAGGTGGTGATCACTGTACTGTTCTTGTTGCATATATACCTCTGCATGTGGACAGGCCTTGTGGCCCTTTGCTTGTGCTCAATGTGTGTGGTGACGTTGTGATCCACCCTGAGCTTGCTTTGCTTTTCTTGACTGGTCTTGTGACCCCTTGTTCTCCCCCACTTTGCCTATGGGGGTGTGTCAAATAATATATGTCAAACATTGCATGTTTATATTGTGTAGGCTGTAGTGGGTTACACCTTAGGGGGTACACAAAGTTAGGGTTTCCTACTTGTACCAAACTCTGTGCTAGTTCATTTCATTCCTGCTCAGTTATTTCTGACATGGTTTCAGAGCAGGTCCTTCGCTAGGACTGTTCTTAGGGCCCACCGACTTACCTACCTGCTTACCTTCGCTTGTTTCCGGCCCCGCTGGCCCCGTCGATCTAGCAAGATCTAGCGGCCCTGCGGCCCCGTCGAAATTTTTTTTTAGCGGCCTCTCACGGCCCCCGTCGCGTCGCCCCTTAGCGCCCCGATCGGCCCCGTCACGCCGCCCGCGAACCGCACAGCGCGCCGCGCTCACAGCCCGCGAACCGCCCGCGCACAGCCCGCGACCCGCCTGCGCAGCCCGCGACCAGCCCGCGCAGCCCGCGCACAGCCCGCGAACTGCCCGCGAGCAGCCCGCGACCTGCCCGCGAACCCCCGCGAGCCGCCCGCGACCCGCTTACGCAGCCCGCGAGCAGCCCGCGCAGCCCGCGCTGAGCCTGCGCGGCTCGTGCGCTGACCGCCGCCGGCCCGCACGCTGCCCGCACTGCTCCCGGCCCGCCGCTGCTGAGCCCGCAGCCGCCCGCGCACCGCCGCTGCTGAGCCCGCCGCCGCCCGCGCACCGCCGCTGCTGAGCTCGCCGCCGCCCGCGCACCGCCGCTGCTGCGCCCGCTGCCGCCCGCGTATCACCGCTGCTGAGCCCGCCCCTGCTGCGCCGGCTCTCGCTGCCGCCTGCTGCGCCTGTGCACCACTGCAGATCCTACTACTACTTGTGCGCCACTATAGTCTGTAGGCCCCACCGGCCCTGCTGACCCTGCGCACGCCTGTTCAGTGACTTTACTGCTTCTACTACTGCCGCTGTCGCTATGGCTAGTCCTCCTGTTCTAGCTTTCGACGCCGAGGGCCGTCCGGTCAAATTCGAAACCTGGCTAGATGATCTGCACCTTTTCCTACAGCTCACTGCCAAGGAAGATATTACACTGTACGACCACGCTCTCGGCCATGCGACCGCCCCACTCGCTACTGCCCCCCCAACTGAGCGCTCACAGTGGCAGACCCGTGACGCACACGCTCGCTTTGCTATTCGCAACTCCCTGCCGCTAGATGAGCGCGAGCACTTCGGCCAGTGCAAGACTGCTAAGGACCTCTACACAGCTGTAGTGGCCCGCTACTCCTCACCCGCTTCTGCCACACTAGGCCGCCTCACTCTCCCCTACCTGTTCCCCGACCTAGCCTCTTTTCACACTGTCGCAGACCTCATCACCCACCTTAAGACTAGTGAGGCTCGCTTTCGCGCTGCCATGCCTGATGAGTTCCTCGCTAGCAACCCCCCCCCGCTCTGGATCACTCTCTACCACGTTGTCACCCGCCTCCCTGACTCTCTGCGCCCTGTCAGGGACCAGTTCCTCTCTCGCTCCCCCACTGAACTCACCATAGCCCTCCTCGAGAAGGAACTGCTTGCAGCCGAGGCTAGTATCGTCGCTGTAGGCACCTCTCGTGGCGACCCCCGCGGCCCCTTCTTCGAGGGGTGCTCCCCTTCCCCCCTCCTCCCCTCTGTCGCCTCTGCTGCTGCTGTCGACCTCCTTGGTGCTGAGAAGGTCGGGACTGCGTCTGCTTCAGGCGGACGACGCAGGGGCAGGAGTGGCAGGAGTGGGGGTGGTGGCGGAGGAGGCGGGGGTGGAGGTGGTGGCGGTGGAGGTGCGACTGGAGAGGCTAGTGGCGGCGGTGGTGGAGGTGACAGCGGTGTTGGGAGTGGTGACAGGGGCGGAGGTGGCAGCGGAGGCGGAGGTGGTCGTGGCAGCGGCAGGGGTGGAGGTGGCCGGGGCGGAGGCGGAGGGGGTGGTGGTCGTGGAGGCCCGGCGGGCGGTCAGAGTCAGCAGCCTGCCCCGACCCTTCAGGCCGCCCGTGAGTGGTATGCGCGGCGCAGCGTCACCTGCCAGTACGTTATTCGTACAGGTGACCGCACTGGCCAGACGTGTGGGGGGCCGCACCAGACGGAGCGCTGCTTCGCCCGCCTCAACGATGCGTGGCGCACTCAGTTTCCTGGTGGGGGTGAGCTGCCGCGCTGGGCTGATCTGCTCAGGAAGGGTGTTGATATTTGGGCACTTGACTTTGATGCTATTCTCACTGCCATGTATGCGATGTCTATTAGTGGAGAGGGTGCTCAGTACTTGCGTGTTCCGCCCGACCCGGGCATTCAGGCCAGCCCTGCTGCTGCACTAGGTGCTAGTGTGTCTGCTTCCACAGGTACTACTGCAGCTGCTGCTCTAGGTGCTTCTGCGTCTGTGCCCCCTGGTACTGAGTCGACTGCAGCACTGCACACCTTCACACTTGACTCAGGTGCTTCTCGCTCTTTCTTTCGTGACCGCACTGTCCTTGAGCCTCTAGCTCGGCCGGTTGCTGTCTCTCTTGCTGACCCCTCTGGGGGTCCGGTCCTTGCGACCTCCTCCACCACCCTTCCGTGTCCAGCGGTTCCGTCCGGCAAGCTCTCAGGTCTCTACCTCCCCTCGTTCTCCACGAACTTGGTGGCAGGTAGTGCGCTCCAGGACTCGGGTGTTCACCAGTTCACCCCTGCCTACGAGCGTGTGACTCACTGCACGTGTGCTCGGACGGGCCGCCACCTGGCTACTTTCACTCGAGAGCCGGGGTCTGACCTGTACACACTGACCACTGAGTCCCCTCAGGTAGCTGCGTCTGCGTCAGCGTCAGGTCAGCTGTCCGCCCCTTGCTCGTGTCGCTCTCTGGCGAACGACACCGTCCTCTGGCACCACCGCCTTGGTCACCCGTCTGTGCAGCGCCTGCGGGCCATGCACAAACGGGACCTTGTTGCTGGTCTTCCCAGGGTGCTCCCTCCCCTTCCTGACTCCCCTGCTCCTGACTGCATTCCCTGTGTCGAGGGGCGGCAGCGCGCCGCTCCTCACTCCTCCTCCTTTCCCCCGACGACCGCTCCCCTGCAGACGCTCCACATGGACGTGTGGGGCCCAGCCCGCGTCCGTGGTCAGGGTCAGGAGAGGTACTTCCTGATAGTTGTTGACGACTACTCGCGCTACACCACGGTCTTCCCCTTGCGCGCCAAGGGTGACGTCCCTGGTGTTTTGATCCCCTGGATCAGCCGAGCCCGTCTCCAGCTAGGCGAGCGCTTTCACTCGGACTTTCCTGTCCTGCGCCTGCACTCTGACAGAGGTGGTGAGTTTGCCTCCGACCTCCTGGCAGCCTACTGTGCTGAGCACGGCATTGAGCAGTCGTACACGCTTCCGGCCTCTCCACAGCAGAATGGGGTTGCTGAGCGCCGCATTGGCTTAGTCATGGAGGTCGCTCGTACCTCCCTGACCCATGCGGCTGCTCCCCACTTTCTGTGGCCGTTTGCGGTCCGGTACGCTGCGCATCAGCTCAACCTCTGGCCCCGTGTCTCCTTGCCGGAGACTTCCCCGACTCTGCGGTGGACGGGAGAGGTTGGCGATGCGTCGCGTTTCCGGGTGTGGGGATCCCGAGCTTTTGTCCGCGACACGTCTGTGGACAAGCTCTCCCGTCGCGCTCTTCCCTGTGTCTTCCTTGGCTTTGTTCCCGACGCGCCTGGATGGCAGTTTTACCACGTCACCTCGCGCCGGGTTCTGGCCTCTCAGGACGTCACTTTTGACGAGTCCGTCCCCTTCTACCGCCTCTTCCCCTACCGCACTGCCCCGCTCCCCCCCCCGCCTCTCTTCCTCGCTCCAGGTGCTGAGGTACCAGACCCCCTCCCCCCTCAGGGTGCCGCTCCCTCAGGTGTGTCCCAGGTAGACCCGGGTGAGCCTGTCGAGGTAGCTGTTGACTCGCGTCCTGCGTCTGGGGGTGCTGAGCCTGGGAGTGCTGCGTCTGAGGGTGCGGAGCCTGGGGGTGCTGAGCCTGGAGGTGCGGAGCCTGGGGGTGCTGAGCCTGGAGGTGCGGAGCCTGGAGGTGCGGAGCCTGGAGGTGCGGAGCCTGGAGGTACTGAGCCTGGGGGTGCTGAGTCTGGACGTGCTGAGTCTGGGGGTGCTGAGTCTGGGGGTGCTGAGTCTGGGGGTGCTGAGCCTGAGCGTGCTCCACCTGGAGGAGCCCTCTCCTCCCAGCAGCTGCAGGAGAGGTACCTCGAGTACTGCCGCCTCCGGAGAGGTGCTTCTGGAGCTCGTCCCGGTACTTCCCCTCCTACCCAGGAGCTCCCCCCCATTCAGGTGATCCGCGAGTGGTACACGCGGCGCTGCAGTCTTCGTAGTGGTGCTCCTGGTGCTGCGGACCCGAGCGGTGGTGCTGTTGCTGGTGCTGAGGACCCGGACGCTGGAGCTGCTGCTGGTGCTGAGGACCCGGGGGCTGGAGCTGCTGCTGGTGCTGAGGACCCGGGCGTTGGAGCTGCTGCTGGTGCTGAGGACCCGACCGGTGGCGCTGCTGCTGGTGCTGAGGACCTGACCAGTGGCCGTGCTGCTGGTGCTGAGGACCCGGGCGTTGGAGCTGCTGCTGGTGCTGAGGACCCGACCGGTGGTGCTGCTGCTGGTGCTGAGGACTCGGGCGTTGGAGCTCCTACTGGTGCTGAGGACCCGGGCGTTGGAGCTGCTGCTGGTACTGAGGACTCGGGCGTTGGGGCTGCCACTGGTGTCCCTGCTGCTTCTGGAGACGCTGCGCGGCCGCGACCGTACTTCGTACCGCTCCTTCAGCAGGTTCTTGGTCAGGCTCCTCCTCCTAGTCCTCCTCCCTCCGTCGAGTGTCCTCTGCCTGTCCAGCCGCAGTCACAGTTACCGCCTGCCTCGCCTCTCCCTGCTCCCTCCCCTTACGCTGGTCCCACAGGAGGTCTTACAGAGCGTCGTGAGCCTGAGTCTCGTCCTGCGTCGCCTGTTCGTACTGCTCGCACTGGTCGTCGTGTCCCACGTGAGCGTCCTCCTCCTATCCCTGGCACTCACTACATGACTCTGCGTCCCTCCACTGCTCCGCAGCGTGTCCCGCTGCCGTCTCCTCCTGCGTCCTCTCTTCCTACTCTTTCTGACCCGGAGTCTGACTCCCGTCGTGCTGCCAGTCCCACTGTTACGCGTCTCCTCGCTACAGTTGTCACTGACCCGACCTTTGAGTCCTCTGCTGCGTCTGCTCTGGTTGCTGAGTTGGTTGACTTTGCTGCTCGCTGTCGCCTAGACTACGCTGCCAGCCTTGTCGCTAGGTCTGAGTCTGCGTCTGCCTGTCCTCCGTCCGTCGGGGGTGAGTGTGCCCTCGGCACGGACGTCCTTGAGGACAGACAGGAGGAGTTCCACTGCCTTGCTGCTGCTTTGCCCCGTCTCGTGTCCTTGCTAGTTGCCCCTGAGGGAGACCCGGATGCACCAGACATCCCGACCCCACGCTCTTACGCTGAGGCGATGGCGGGTCCCTACTCCTCTCAGTGGCAGACAGCCATGGACGCAGAGATGGCCTCCTGGAAGTCCACAGGCACCTACGTAGACGAGGTTCCCCCTCCTGGGGCGAACATCGTCAGTGGCATGTGGATTTTCAGGGTGAAGCGGCCGCCGGGTTCTCCGCCTGTCTTCAAGGCGCGCTACGTGGCTCGAGGCTTCAGTCAGCGAGAGGGAGTAGACTTCTTTCAGACCTTCTCCCCCACCCCGAAGATGACTACTCTTCGGGTGCTGCTGCACATAGCCGCTCACCGCAACTACGAGCTTCACTCTCTTGACTTCAGCACTGCTTTCTTGCAGGGCAGCCTGCACGAGGAGATCTGGCTGCGCCGCCCCCCTGGCTTCACTGGGTCAGTTCCTCCTGGCACCCAGTGGAGGCTTCAGCGGCCGGTCTACGGTCTCCGCCAGGCGCCACGTGAGTGGCACGACACACTGAGGACGACACTTGCGGCTCTTGGGTTCGCTCCCTCTACTGCTGACCCGTCGCTGTTTCTACGCACCGACACCTCGCTGCCACCGTTCTACATCCTCGTGTACGTCGACGACTTGGTCTTTGCCACTGCTGACACCGCGGCACTCGCTCACGTGAAGTCGGAGCTGCAGAGGAGACACACGTGCACAGACCTGGGTGAGCTGACGAGCTATCTTGGCTTGCGGATCACCCGGGACAGAGCACGGCGCACCATCACCCTGACTCAGTCACACATGGTGCAGCAGGTTCTCCAGCGCTTCCGCTTCACGTACTCCTCGCCTCAGTCCACTCCTCTGCCTACCGGTCACTCGCTCTCAGCTCTGCCTTCGGATGAGTCCGTAGAGCCGAGTGGCCCGTATCCAGAGCTTGTGGGCTGCCTCATGTACCTGATGACCTGCACTCGACCTGACCTTGCATACCCTCTTAGCATCCTAGCACGCTATGTCGCTCCTGGCCGTCACCGGAAGGAGCACATGGATGCTGCTAAGAGGGTGTTGCGCTACTTGTGCAGTACGTCGGGCATGGGGCTTGTGCTTGGAGGGCGAGACCGGGTTGTTCTCACAGGGCATTCAGACGCTTCTTGGGCAGACGACCAGGCTACTCAGCGGTCGTCCCAGGGTTACACCTTCAGCCTTGGCTCTGGCTCAGTTTCTTGGCGTTCTACTCGCTCTTCTTCTGTTCTCAGCTCCAGTTGTGAGGCTGAGATCTACGCCACAGCCATGGCTGCTCAGGAGCTACGCTGGCTGACCTACCTGTTGACCGACCTCGGAGAGCGGCCTCGTTCTCCTCCAGTGCTGTACGTCGACAACAAGGCTGCCATTGCCTTGTGTGAGGAGCACAGACTGGAGCACAGAACGAAGCACATCGCTCTGCGGTACTTCCTTGCTCGAGAGCTGCAGCAGCGTGGTCAGCTTTGTCTGCGTTACGTGGCCACGGAGGCCAACACTGCTGATGTGTTCACCAAGGCGCTTCAGCCTTGTGACCATCAGCGCTTTTGCACTCTGCTAGGCCTTGTACCTACTGGGCCTCACTTGCTTACCTCTTGACCTTGCTTGTACTGTGATCACTATATATATATGCCTACTTGTTTACTTTTGCTAGGTTGTGATCACTGTATCTCTTGCTTTGTTATAAACCTGCATGTGAACTGGTCTTGTGACCGCTTGCTTGTGCTCGGAATTTGTGTGGAATCCTTGAGATCCACCCTGAGCTTGCTTTGCTTTGCTTTGACTGGTCTTGTGACCCTGTGGTTGTCTCCCACTGCGCCTATGGGGGTGTGTCAAACATTGCATGTTTATATTGTGTAGGCTGTAGTGGGTTACACCTTAGGGGGTACACAAAGTTAGGGTTTCCTACTTGTACCAAACTCTGTGCTAGTTCATTTCATTCCTGCTCAGTTATTTCTGACAATATATGTATCATAGATGTGTAGGCTGTAGTGGGGTAGCCAATATGGGGTACAACCCCATTAGGGTTTCATATTTGTACCAAGTTTCTTTTATGTGCATTCATTCCTGCCTAGTTACTTTGACAAAAAGGGCTGGGGACGAGAACGGTAGGTGAAGGGAGTGAACGAGGCCCGTTCAGTCATTTGCGAACGGCCAAGACGGCCGAGTGTAACAAGTCGGGATTCACCATGCGGGATGCATGGGAATCTCCGAAAGGGGAAGGTAGTATTCTCTTGCTAGCTCCAAACAACTTCAATTGCTAGCCTCGGGCCTTTTCCCTTATCCCTGTCAGGATGATTAGTAGAGCAGGGCATAGCATCGAGGCATGATGTCGAGATGCTATGCTAAATTGAGTGGCGATACGGTATTCCTATCCGAGTCGCACTTCTCTTCTCCTAGCATAAATACTACTTCCTAGCTCTTGTTATATCATCCGGATCTCTTCTAATCTAAGATCGTTCACTCCCTTCCGTTGCGACAGTCTTTTCTTTATTCTTCATCCCAAATATTGGGCTCGCAAAATCCTACCCCCAGGTTTCCTCTAGGTTACCCCACTGTGGGTAACCCAAAGGACTCCCATCTAGGTTGTTGGGCTGAGAAAAGCCCTTAGGATCTTTGCAAGGCTAAACTCTAAGTAGGAACAATGTAATAGCGGAAGCGTTTAATGAAGATATTGAACCACCTTGCGCTAGTATGTGAGGGCAAAGTAGATTGATTAAAACAAGGAGATACAAGGTTTTTATAAGAGTACAAGGAATATGAAGAGATACAGCTAATAACTGTTTTACTGTTGCTGTTGCGATTCGATACAGTGACGACTCGGGCAACTGCTCAATAACGAGTCAGTAGTTTTGTCCTTGCTGTCGCGCTGTACTTGTCAGGTCAAAGGTCGCTGACCTTTGACTTTCGCGTAACCTCTAGCAGTTAATTTCCTTCTCAACCTCCGAGGGTTGACTCGCCGATGCTTTGTTGTGTTTTTGCTTCGTTTACGGCTTAGTGTTTCGACACGACAGAGGCGCTTAAATCACTTGTTTCCAACATAGGTCACCCGATGGTAACCTCGGGGCAACAACACCTTTGTGGTGACCCAGAGGGTAACCCACACGATGTGACCTTGGTGAAACCGCCAAGTCGCCGCGAGCAGGGCTTCAGATTCGTTTTGGGCCACCCTTAGTAATCAGGGTTCTAGGTATAGTCAACCTTGATACGTAGGGTAAACTTTTTGTTTCCCTGACAAATGCAGGGTAAAAAAACTGGAAGTCTGTTTAGTAAGGGTAAAAAACGTTTCGAGTAAAAATTAAAATTATAAAGTTCAACACGAAGTGCCTCAACTGGTTAGATTTCGAGTCGTATTTTAAAGGTCGCAGGGTCGAGTCTTGCTGTTGGGAGTATTTTGCAGGGGTTTGCATAGTGTTCCGTCTCGCTACGGAGTATACGGCAACTGTATATCTGGGATAGTACACTGGCACAGTCAGGGAAACAAGTTGCTTACGCTGTTTTTCGAAGGGTACAAAAAACTTACACTTTCTAGCCTAGGGTAAAAAATCCACTACACTGCCTGTGAAAGGGTAACTGAAAAAAAGCGGCCGCCAGTCAGTGCAAAAAGGGTATTTTACCCTGATAACGAGAGCCCTGGCCGCGAGGAAACCGCATCCATTTTTCTGGAGCCAATCATACGCGACCCTTATACGCGCCGTGAGCAGTTTCGCGACCAGCACAATCTTGCAATACACGTTTATTCTTCGTGGGGAAGGGTATATCTAAAAAGGATTTAGTTCGGATTATAATCAACAATATTATTAAATTAATTCACCAGAAAGCAAAACCCTAAACCAGTGTTCAATGTTCTAGAATCTCATTGTCTTAGTATGCTAGTTGACCAGTGATGATGCACAGGCCAAATATTACCCGTATTGTTGTTTAAGCATACAGAATAACAATGATCCACACATACAAAGTAACAATGATGAACACATCCAGAACAGAGTATTAGTACTTACATCACTGTACAATTGTGCAACTGCCGAACTATGAAGGCACACACGGATCAAGGCTGCACAAAAAATATGCTGATTATAACACGACTTCATAATTCAGGGCGCAATATATTTCCTGTCACACCAGGGTAATGAACGCAACAAACAGAGGAGTCAGAAAAAGGGGGAACATTCAAACGGACTGGGAAACACTATTGCAGAAATCACAGCTGTCCATTACTGTATGCTTACGAGAGAAAGAGATTTAACTTAGGAGTCTTGGTGAACCAACCTGCGAAATCTAGGCGCAAGTGCAACGGTTGCAGTGAAACATTACAATGAGGAGAAAGCCAGAGAAAACCGGGTGTCTGACAATGAGAACTGCGGCTGCGGAGAAAAAAAAAAAAAAAAAAAAAAAAAGACGGCATGAAGAAAAACATAATGAGCGGCGCTCATCCTGCAAACCCTGGGAACATCGTTTCGGATAAAATCAGTCATATCGCTTATCTCAGGAGCGCCATTAAGAGAATCGCCGCGACAAAGAGTCCTACGAATGTACGTGATTTCGGCGTAGAACCACGCACCGTTCCCACATCGATATTCTGCCACAAAGAAACAAACATCGAAGAAACATAGAAATTACTCGTTATTTGACCTTGGTAATACATAAAATACTATGAAGTCGGGGGTAAAATGTTGGACAAATGAAATCCTAATCCTTGAGCGTGCATGCTTAGCTCTCAGGGAACTATGCTTCAGGGAGGGGCGATTACGGAGCTAAGAAGCCATGGCGAGTAGAGAAAGGCTTCAGTTAGATGATTCAACTACCGAATAATGAGAGCAGCTGGTAGAAGAATTGTAAATAACACTTCGAAGAATCTCCAGAAAGAGCTGTTTGGCAGAAATGACGTGTACAGATTTGATTGGTGAGCGATATTGTGGCTGCTTGTCAGCAAAACCCATCAAACTACAACGCGATACAGTGAGGTGCGTTATCAACCTCGTCGTTCAACAGTGCA